AACAGACAAGTTGCTGTCCTTTTGTTCTTCAGTCTAGTTGTGGAGGACGTCACTTCACTGGCCCATGTTGGTATTATCATTGTGCTCTTCCCGGCCTAGGCAGATCGGTAGCCGGCCATTGGACGGCGGCTCACAGCAGCTCATGAAAGCTCACACCCGCTGCTGGCCAGCCCCACTGCAGCCTACGCTGTCGCCGGCAACTCATGGCAGCCCAGCTCCAGATCGAGCCGTTGTTCACCATCTTAGCTGTAGAGGGTGCAGCATCATTGGCCCTCATATGTAGGATCCGAACAGGGGCCCTGCTACTCAGAGCTGGCATCCCAAGCCAACTCCTAACCAATGTGCCACTTGGCCAGCCCATTACTACCATTTTTGTAAAAAAAATAAAATGGAGTCTTACTATACATACTATTCTATTCTGTCACTTGATTTTTCACTTAATATAACACAGCGATTCTTTTAGATCTATTTGGCTCCATCTATGAACACTGATAAAACTAAATTTTTACTACTATGGGCATTTTACAAACTCATAAAGAGATGGTAGAAATTAAGGGTGAGAAATTGACTTGCTTGAAGCTTCCCAATGAATCAGTGGTTGCACATGGTGGAAAATGCTCCCTAATGGCTAAAAGCATGAATTATGAATTTAATGTATGAGGTGTGATAAAAAAATACGGTGAATGTTTAAATTAAAAAAAATTATTACAGTAAAACACACATTGCCATTAATCCCCCTCCAAATACTCCCTTTCGCCTCGAACACACTTATCCCATTGTTCTTGCCACTTTCTGAAGCAGTTCTGGAAGTCCCCTTTGGTGAAGTGTCTTTAGTTGCACTGTCATGGCTTCCTCGATGTCCTGAATCGATTCAAAACGGTTACCTTTCATGGTCATTTTGACTTTGGGGAAGAGCCAGAAGTTGCACGGTGCCAGATCCGGTGAATAAGGTGAATGAGGACACACCATAATGTTTTTAATTGACAGAAATTGCCATACCAAGTATGTGTGACATGGAGCCTTTCTGTTGTGATCACAAAATACGGTGAATGCTGCTGCCAAGTGCCATCCAATAGAAAGGCAGGGATCGTCAATATGGGAAGCAGTGCATCAAGGCTTAGTAAGAGTGTGTGACAAGTTTCAACTTGTTTGGTGCAGTCAGTTGGGTGTGAGCTATGGTTGAGAGAGGTATATTTTAAAGTGCGCCGTAAATCATCCTTCATCATGACAACGCTCTGTGTCACACATCACTTCTGGTATACGGCAATTTCTGTTAAATAAAAACATTACAGTGTGTCCTCATCCACCTTATTCACCGGATATGGCACCATGTGACTTTTGGCTCTTCCCCAAAGACAAAATGATTCAGGATATCGAAGCAGTCACGACAGTGCAATTAAAGACACGAAAGAGGACTACCAGAACTGTTTCAGAAAGTGGCAAGAATGGTGGGATAATAGTGAGTTCGAAGCAAGGGGGAGTGTTTTGAGGGGGATTAATGGCAATGTGTCTTTTACTGTAATAAATTTTTTAAATTTAAACATTCACTGTATTGTTTGATCACACTTTGTATTTTACTTTTAATTCACCACCATGTACCACCTGTGTTATCTTGGGCAAGTTATTTACCCTCTTTGTGACTTGGTTTCTTCATTCCTAAAATGTGGGCAATAATAGTATTTACCTCATAGGTTGTTTTGATAATTAAATGAAATAATATATGTAAAAGTGCTTAAAAGTGTGCCTGTCACATAGTAAATGCTCAACAAATGTTAGTTGTCATGTTGTTATTGTTGTTATAAAACACACAAATTATTACTATTATTACTACTACTACTACTACTACTATTACTAATTCATGGCTCAGGTCTCACCCTGAATCTGATACGGAAGGCAATATTCAAAACATGAACTCCAAATTGAAGCCAAGAGTTCCAAAGGAAAAGCAGTGCAGTGGTCATAACTGCCGCAGGTGCTGTCTTAGTTACGGAAATGTGATCACTTCTCTTCCCCCTTGCTTGTATTCCAGGTGGGGAGATACCTTCCAAAAGTGAACTGGATGAATTGCAGGAAGAGGTGGCCAAGAGGGCCCAGGAGCAGGAACTTCGAAGGAAACGAGAGAAGGAATTAGAGGCAGCTAAAGGGTTTAACCCTCACCCCAGCCGCTTTATGGACTTGGATGAACTGCAGAATCAGGGTAATTGTTGTGAGCATGAGGTGTGGATGACGGGGACAGAGAGAGAGGGAAGAAAAAAAATATTCAACCTCGTAAATTCCCTGTCTTTGCTTTAGCAAAGTTATATTTTATCTTAATTCAACCGTTTCAGGGAGAGCTAGTTAAAATGGGAGGTAACAGGCCTATTGATTGAAGACAGGCACTGATTTGGGGCCCATCTATTAAAAGCCTTTAGGTTAGAGATAGCGTATTGTTCATGAAAAATACTTCCCATGAACATCTAAGGAAGGTGTAAATACAACTAGTCACAATTCAGAAACAGCAGAAGAGGCACTTGACACTGAGGGGAATTCCACTTGCTGGCAGAAACATACTCTCGAGCTTTCCACCTGGAGCTCAAGGGAAGTGGATCTACCACACAGGTTCTAAGAACACAGAACCTGATTGCCTTTTGGTCCCCTGAGGATTCATGTCCCAATCTCATATGATTTTCATGGACTTAAGCTTGCTCAACTGCCCATTTGTCACTTTTTTTTCCAATTGCTTTAGGACAGCGGTTCTCAACCTTCCTAATGCCGCGACCCCTTAATACAGTTCCTCATGTTGTGGTGACCCCCAACCATAAAATTATTTTCGTTGCTNTGAAGCAACGTCCTCCACAACTAGACTGAAGAACAAAAGGACAGCAACTTGTCTGTTCCCCTTCCCCAATTCCCCAATAAAATCTTAAAAAAAAACCCCAAAAACAAAAAAAACCTATGGTGGAAAAAAACAAAACAAAACAAAAAGACCCAAAGATAGCTGAAACTCAGTTGGACTGTGGAATATGGCTAGATTTTTACGACTTTCCCACCAATTTTTTAGATTTATCTTGTTTATACTCAATTTAGCCACAATTTTTGTTTTTTTAAGCAAATTCATCATTGACAAGTCTTTCCAAGGCAACAGTGTAGTTTACATAGACACACCTCTCCTTTTCACACTTATATATGATCTGTTTATATAATATTTAGTTACATGTCTTAAGTGGAAAAGGTACAACCAGCATAAACAGGTTTGGGAACAAACAACTCACAATTGGCCCCCAATTGAACTGACTGGAAGAAGGGGTGGGCCCACTAGAGAGCAGCATGCTGTAGACATCTGGTCTGCTTGCCAGAGGGAAGTGGGTACAGCTTGATTGGTGAGTGGATCCAGTGAGCATCTCTGCACCGCATCTGAGGCCCATCCAAAGAAATAGCTACTGATCTAGTCCAGTGCTGGGCAGGGTCAGGGTGGGCAGTGACCAGTTGGGACCTACGAGGGACCTACAGTTGGTCTCTAACCTGATGCCTTTCTAAGGCTTAAAAGGATAATTTTGTCTGCTCAGTTTTTGTCTTATAGAATATTGGATAAACCTCATAAGATGCAGTAAGTAATACTACTGTAAACAAGACAGAAAGAAAATGTAGCCATGCTTTTGGATAAACAAAGGGAAAAACTAAAAGGCGAATATAGATTATATAAGCATATAGAAGTATATGTTATGTAACTATATAAATATAAAGTATATATTATATATTTTAATATATTCATATGTAATATATATTTTAAGGTATACATATTATATATACTCTGCCTTTAGTTATATATATAAGTATATATGTGCATATATATGCATATATAAGTGTACATACATATTCTTCACTTTTAAAGTATATATGTATGTGTGTATATATACAATGTGTGTGTGTGTGTGTGTATACATATCTGATGGTACTTCATGAGGTATTCCCCACATTTTAATTTATTTTATGTGAACTAACATTGCTTTAAGAAACTTGTGATCATGAGCTATTCCCTCTTCTCTTTTCTTCAAATAGCCAATACTTTTTTTATCACACTAAAAATTAAGTCTCATTTTTCTAGTAGTAGTCCTAATTCTGGACTGGCTGAATAGAATTTACCAACAGGATTCCTAAACCAGTAAAAGGTATTTAGCAAGGAATTGCAACAAGTTTCTCACACACCATACTACTCCACCATCCTTTTGTATAGGGAGCCCTACTTATGCCTCACAATTGGATCCAATCATTGTAGTCTGGCACAGAACAAATATGTGTGTGTGTGTGTGTGTGTGTGTGTGTGTGTGTGTGTGTNGCTGAGCCATCCTGCTACCTGTTGGCAGCTCAGCGGCTGCTCAGCTCGGGCTGTACTCGAACCGCTGTTGCTCAGAGCTCAAACTCTTGAGCGAGCTCTTAACCAACTGAGCCACTTGGCCGGCCCTGAGGAAATTTTTGTCCTAGGAATATTCCTAGTTACCACCTTTCTGATGCTTTCTTTCACTCAGCTCTGGTTTCTCTTTTGAAGGGATCCAAGTGGTAAGAGATCAGCTGGGTTGACACCTTCCTGGCGTCACATCCCGAAGTCCCACAGCAGTGGCATCCTGGAGGCGGACTCCACAGCATCCAGGAGCGGCTGGATGAAGAATCAGCCCCTCTCAGGTAAGCAGTGGGACAGTGGGTTTGGAGGGCTGGACGTGACTGCAGATGTTGTTTGGGAAACAGCCTCACCTGAGCACATCTGAAATTAGAGGACAGATTGTAAATGTGGAGACATTTGAGCTGCTCCATCTTTGGATTTATCTATTTTTAGTTTTCTATCATGGCTTGCCTAATTATTTCTTTCTGCCTCGGAGATAGCCCTTGTGGGAACAAGAAGGAACAGAAATAGGTGAACAGTGTCAGTAGCACCTGCATTCCTCAGAAGAATAAGTCCGAGGGCTTTCCTTGGTATAGGCAGCCTCTTGGGAATGGATTTCTTATTGTTGAGTACTATGAATTGAGATGACAAAAGGAGACATATAGACTATGGGCAAAACCGGGAAATAATCAGGTCAAACCTTCCCGTACCCCCACCTCTATGTCCTGCCCAGTATCCCTGTTTTCTTTTCTCTTCAGTGTGCCTTGTGTCCTCGTTCTCCCTCCTTCTCAAAACAAGCTCTCAAGGAATCACCTGACTCCTTCACACTAAATATACGTGACTGAGAATAGCTTAAACTGTGCTTTCTCTAAGGCAGTGGTTCTCAACCGTTCACAGGGGTCACCTAAGACCATCGGAAAACACATATTTTCGATGGTCTTAGGAACCAAGACACTGCTCCTCTATCCGTCTCCAGGCCCACATGCAGATACGCCCACATACGAGTACCCGGCAACCCCTGTGAAAGGGTCGTTCGACCCCCAAAGGGGTCACGACCCACAGGTTGAGAACCGCTGCTCTAAGGGAAACTAGCATTTTAACAAGTCAGTGTCTGAAGATAAAGGAATATTGGAGTTTAAGGTAGAGATTTGAGGTGTTCATAGATTTTAGCTTCTTTTTACCTTCTTCTCACAACACACACACATATATACTTCTAGTGCATGTTCCACTTCTGTAGAGACCCAGCCTGAATGGATCAAAATAAGTCCTTTACTTAGAGCTGAAAATCAAGGTGACAATAACTAGGCTGTCTCCCCAACATGGAGACTTTTTTCAAAGTCTGAGGGAAGGTAGTGAGTATACAGTATTGTTTAGTCTGCTGACAAGTTCTGGGAGCTACTAACTTAGAGGTCAGCTATATCTGAAAGACGTGTTTCAACCCCTTTTTTCCTGGTATGTTATATCAGTTGGGAGTAGGGTGTGTGGGTAGAAACCTAAGTGTGGTCTGATTTAATGAGCTTCTAGATGTAGACCTGTGGCCAGCTTACTAGGGAGAGGAGGACAGAATACTGTGCCAGCCTGTTGAGATGAGACCAGGAACCTCATTAGTCTGACCACCAGTTCTCTTAATGGTCACTGGAAGTTCTCAGAGGTAGCTGGAGGGGAGGTATGCAGCAGTAATAAAAAGGCAAGAACTCTCTTAGGTATGAGTGCTGTAGGTTGCTGACATCTGGCAGAGCAGAACAGTGCCTCTAGAAGCAGGTATCCCTGAAATCCTGGGCTGGAGTACCTTATAGTTAAAAACCCCTGGCAGAAATTCATGCTTCAATGAAGTTATACATTTGTTCTACTTCCCAATTTTTTTTTACATTAATTGATATTTATTATATATATTTATAAATATTTAAGTATATGAGTGTACCCTTGTTCACAAGCTTGGTACAGGAGTAGTACTTTATTGTTGAAGATGGGCCCACTGTCTGGAATTCTCAATTGCCTTTCCTATATAAACCAGGAATCTATGATTTTCAGGTTCAGGTTTCTTAAAGAAGAGAAAAAACCCCAGGGCCGGCCGAGTGGCGCGTTGGTTAAGAGCTGGCTTGGGATGCCAGCTCTGAGCAGCAGGACCCCAGTTCAGATCCCACATGAGGGCCAGTGACACTGCCCTCTACAGCTAAGATGGTGAACAACAGCTCGACCTGGAGCTGGGCTGCCATGAGTTGCTGG